AGTCTTAAGCAGTAATATATCACAACAATGTACTACAATTATATGTTCACTTTTATTTTGTAAGATCTCGAGGTCTAAAAAAAAGTTGTTTGGCTTTTTATGGGTTCTTAGGAACGTAACCCTATTTTTCCAATAATTTCATCAGTCCCTCTAACACTGTTTTGTCTCACATGGCGCTTTCAGGAACGTAACTTCCATGTTAAATGACGGTCTACTGTACTGTATTTCGCAGCTTATTAGACACATTTTTTCCATAAACTGTCTCCAGAAACCAGCCTGCATCCTATAAACTGAAGGTCAGTGATGGGAGCTATAAGTTTGAGGTGGAAGTGGAACAGAATTCTTCCTCCGTAAGCCATGTGTGCTGTAAGAGGTGATTAAAATGCCGGGAGCAAGGTGCTAGTAATCCCTTCTGGATGCATTACTAAATTTAAAAAGAGAAACTTTATTTATTTTTTTTTTTTGAGGTCATCTTGCCTCGGTGAGATAAGGCTGGTTTGTTGAAAAAATCTATTATTTATACTTCTTGATACGATGCCAAGAATTCATTTAGATTTTTTTTGTGCGAAAACTAGAGGACTGTTGTTTTGGCTTTATTTTTTTTCAATTTGGCTTTAAATTCTTGCATTCAGCTTGATTAAAGTTCATAAGTGCCATAGTTATTTTCTTTTCCCAGGATAAGAACCTTGCATTCGTCCACATTAACTGTCACTTCTTCAACCACATCAACGTATTCAGGTCATCTAGTTTCTCTCTTACCAGAAATTATTTGATGGCCTGCTTTAAAATTATGGCCAAATTTGCGTTTGTTTCTCTTTTATTCCATATATGTCGAAGGGGCCCGAAACTGGTCCTTGAGGTACACCACTTGAAACTAGTTCCCATTTTGATTTCTCTCTTATTTATGCAAATTCTATGTTGCCTATCGGTCAACAATGCTTCAGTCCATTGGATAATTTCTCAAATACTGTGAGTTATTACTTCCATCATTAATATAATGTGTAGCACCCCATCGAAGATTTACTGATTTCCATATACACACTGTCTATCCTTTATCACTGTTGGAAATTCTTACATCATGAATCCCCATTTGTAAAACCGTATTGAGATTCATTGATATCTTTCGAGGTGGTTTTGAAATGCATCAACCATTATCGAGTTCTTTAAGTTTCTGACAATTAAGATTTGATAAATTGGTCTATAATTTGAAGATAAGAGCCTATCGCGTATTCTGTAAATATTCCACTGGTACATTATTCGTTTATAGTTATTTAAAGATTAGCTAAGTTCCTCCTTACATTCACTTAGATCAGTAGAAAACAGATCTCAGAGACTTGTGACTTCTCATAGCAAGTTTGGGGCTGGAACCAAGCCCCACACAGAGGGGCTATTGCAGCCCTTCGTAGAGTGTATAAATACACCTGGCTGGATAAATCTGATGCCAGCATGGTAATACTGGTTAGTTATCCGGCCAGCTAGTTTTAAGACTGGCTTCATGTGGGTTATAACCCCATATATTCCGTGAGTTGAAGATAATCGTGTTATTGGGATTCTGATCTGTTTTTCTGAGAATTTTCTGGATTTCATGAGTATTCTATCTTGTAAATAACAGAGAGGAAACGTGTGTTAAAAATGTTACTTATTTCTTTGTAACTAACTGTAAGCTGACCAGAGTTACATTTAATTGAGACTAAAATTGAACATTAAAATGGTATAAAATACCGACAGGTTGTCAAGTAAGACACATATGCAACAGTTAGGTATCTTTATTTCGAAACGTTTCGCCTACACAGTAGGCTTCTTCAGTCTTCAAGTCTCTTCTGCTTCTATCAACTTTTCTGTACTCGACTGAAGAAGCCTACTGTGTAGGCGAAACGTTTCGAAATAAAGATACCTAACTGTTGCATATGTGTCTTACGAGACTAAAAATTGCCATAATCTTATTTCCATTTACTTGTAAGAAACCATTGGGGTTATTCTTTGTTTCAATGACATTTCCATCTTTTTATTATCATTTTTACTCTCTTATTCCTTTCCATTTCTCTCTTAAATTGAATAAAATGATTCATAAGACAACCGTTTCCTTTTTTGATTCCCCTGTTAATGCAAATCTTTGTACCCAGGAGAAGTTTATTCTGTTTTTATTCATTGAAGGTCATTCGTATTTGAAGTAATTTATATATCTGGAATGTGTATGCGACATACGAAGCTTATATACACTTTGGAAAATGTAGTATTGGCAACTGCCATGATAATCCGCTTTATGGGTACCTTTGTTCGTACCTTTGTTCGTACCTTTGTTCGTACCTATGTTCGTACCTTTGTTCACGTATACCCACGTAACACCTCAGCAAAATATTTGCAGCTTGATAATCAAGGACATTACAGTCCACTACCAGTCTATTCTCTGAGAAGTCTTCTCTATTGTTTTTTTTTTTAAATTACAGTGTTCATGTTTACCTGGAGTTTACCTGGAGAGAGTTCCGGGGGTCAACGCCCCCGCGGCCCGGTCTGTGACCAGGCCTCCTGGTGGATCAGAGCCTGATCAACCAGGCTGTTACTGCTGCCTGCACGCAATCCAACGTATGAGCCACAGCCCGGCTGGTCAGATACCGACTTTAGGTGCTTGTCCAGTGCCAGCTTGAAGACTGCCAGGGGTCTGTTGGTAATCCCCCTTATGTGTGCTGGGAGGCAGTTGAACAGTCTCGGGCTCCTGACACTTATTGTATGGTCTTTTAACGTGCTAGTGACACCCCTGCTTTTCATTGGGGGGATGGTGCATCGTCTGCCAAGTCTTTTGCTTTCGTAGTGAGTGATTTTCGTGTGCAAGTTCGGTACTAGTCCCTCTAGGATTTTCCAGGTGTATATAATCATGTATCTCTCCCTCCTGCGTTCCAGGGAATACAGGTTCAGGAACCTCAAGCGCTCCCAGTAATTGAGGTGTTTTATCTCCGTTATGCGCGCCGTGAAGGTTCTCTGTACATTTTCTAGGTCGGCAATTTCACCTGCCTTGAAAGGTGCTGTTAGTGTGCAGCAATATTCCAGCCTAGATAAAACAAGTGACCTGAAGAATGTCATCATGGGCTTGACATCCCTAGTTTTGAAGGTTCTCATTATCCAGCCTGTCATTTTTCTAGGTCAGCAATTTCACCTGCCTTGAAAGGTGCTGTTAGTGTGCAGCAATATTCCAGCCTAGATAGAACAAGCGACCTGAAGAATGTCATCATGGGCTTGACATCCCTAGTTTTGAAGTCATAAGAATTATCTACTGTCAGATAACTTTTCGATCTATTTATCTTATATTGAATAAAGTGGTTTAAGTTGTTTGCCTGACACAGATTTTGATCTCATGATAAGTGTGGTATGCTAAGTTATGTTAGACTTTATATGGCGTATGTTACGCACTCATATAAGCATGTCTCGCGAGCAGTGAACTAGGTGCTAAGTTGTGATGAATGGTTTGAAAAACCGACAAATTGAAGATTGAGACACTTATGTAGCATATGGGAAACTTTATTCAGGAAACGTTTCGCCACACAGTGGCTTCATCAGTCCAATGCAAAGAGGAAGGCGTAAGGAGAGGAGGAGTATGACGTAATCAGTCCCTCAGCCTGAAGTCGATGTGTTCAGTCCATTCTACAAGATTGATGGACTGAACACATCGACTCCAGGCTGAGGGACTGATTACCTCATACCCCTCCTCTCCTTACGCCTTCCTCTTTGCATTGGACTGATGAAGCCACTGTGTGGCGAAACGTTTCCTGAATAAAGATTCCCATATGCTGCATAAGTGTCTCAATCTTCAACTTGTCGGTTTTTCAAACCATTCATCACAACTGTCGGACACTGCAGCATCATGGGATCTTGTTACAAAGAATTCTTCAACACTTGTTCAACCTTTGGACGAAGACCTACTTCGACTAGTGGATGGTACCACTATGACCCCGCCTCCGTCTGCTTCACCTCACCTGACTACTTCGACTAGTGGATGGTACCACTATGACCCCGCCTCCATCTGCTTCACCTCACCTCACTACAGTATATAAGCCACGTCTACGGCCCTATGCTGTACATTCTACAAGATTGATGGACTGAACACATCGACTCCAGGTTGAGGGACTGATTACCTCATACTCCTCCTCTCCTTACGCCTTCCTCTTTGCATTGGACTGATGAAGCCACTGTGTGGCGAAACGTTTCCTGAATAAAGATTCCCATATGCTACATAGGTGCTAAGTGTTTAACGATCAAACGAGCCACGTCTTTATGCCTGTACTTGGGTTCAACCAACAAATCACAAGGAAACCATATCTACACCTGTGTTCGTAATAATGACGTAGGAGCAATAAAGGTGTAGGAACTGATCTTAATAATGTGCAGACATTATTATAGGTGGATATACTGGTAAAGCTGATTACCTAATTAACTATGCTGGCCTCTGGACGAGACTGTCGTACCGCTGACAGTTGCTGTTGACTGTCGTACTGCTGACAACTGTTATTGACTGTCTTACTGCTGACAATTACTATTGACTGTCGTACTGCTGGCAACTGCTATTGACTGTCGTACTGCTGAGAATTACTATTGACTGTCGTACTGCTGGCAGCTGTTATTGACTGTCGTACTGCTGATAATTACTATTGACTGTCGTACTGCTGGCAACTGCTATTGACTGTCGTACTGCTGACAATTACTATTGACTGTCGTACTGCTGGCAACTGCTATTGACTGTCGTATTGCTGACAACGGCTATTGACTATCGTATTGCTGACAACTGTTATTGTCGAGTCATAGCTCCTGGCCGGGCCCAGGAGCTATAACTCAATCCCTGCAACCACAATTGGGTACAATTGCTATTGTTGACAACTGTTATTACTGCTTACCAGAAACTACCGATACTGATTTTGTTTTAAAACTGACGTGTCGGTGTATAAAACGACCTGCCTCTACCACTTCAGACATCATGATGAATCTGAGGAACTGACTCTACCGATGCTGACCTGATATTGCTGACGCTGACCTCGAGTGCTTGCTGGTAACACTGTGTCGCAGGTGCTTGAGTCTTTTCCTGACGGGTGCCGTTGAGAGCGTGTACAACACAGGGTTGACGGCAGCGTTCAGAGGTAACACAAACACAGCGATCCATGAGAATACCTGTTGTAGCGAGGGAGGATGAAATTATACAGTGTTGAAGACATTTAAAACACCTGTCATTGGAAGACTAGGTCGTGATTATATAGGACAAGCTCTCAGTCATAACTGAGAGCTTAAACTCTCAGTCATAACTGAGAGCAGTAAGATCAAGACTCTCTGTCATAACTGAGAGCTTAAATTCTCAGTCATGACTTAGAGCTTAAATTCTCAGTCATAACTGAGAGCCTAAACTCTCAGTCATAACTGAGAGCTTAAACTCTCAGTCATAACTGAGAGCAGTAAGATCAAGACTCTCTGTCATAACTGAGAGCTTAAATTCTCAGTCATGACTTAGAGCTTAAACTCTCAGTCATAACTGAGAGCCTAAACTCTCAGTCATAACTGAGAGCTTAAACTCTCAGTCATAACTGAGAGCAGTAAGATCAACACTCTCAGTCATAACTGAGAGCAGTAAGATCAACACTCTCAGTCATATCTGAGAGCAGTAAGATCAACACCTCAGTCATAACTGAGAGCAGTAAGATCAACACTCTCAGTCATAACTGAGAGCAGTAAGATCAACACTCTCAGTCATATCTGAGAGCAGTAAGATCAACACTCTCAGTCATAACTGAGAGCAGTAAGATCAACACTCTCAGTCATATCTGAGAGCAGTAAGATCAACACTCTCAGTCATAACTGAGAGCAGTAAGATCAACACTCTCAGTCATATCTGAGAGCAGTAAGATCAACACTCTCAGTCATAACTGAGAGCAGTAAGATCAACACTCTCAGTCATATCTGAGAGCAGTAAGATCAACACTCTCAGTCATAACTGAGAGCAGTAAGATCAACACTCTCAGTCATAACTGAGAGCAGCAAGATCAACACTCTCAGTCATAACTGAGAGCAGTAAGATCAACACTCTCAGTCATATCTGAGAGCAGTAAGATCAACACTCTCAGTCATAACTGAGAGCAGCAAGATCAACACTCTCAGTCATAACTGAGAGCTTAAATTCTCAGTCATAACTGAGAGCTTAAATTCTCAGTCATAACTGAGAGCAGTAAGATCAACACTCTCAGTCATAACTGAGAGCTTAAACTCTCAGTCATATCTGAGAGCAGTAAGATCAACACTCTCAGTCATAACTGAGAGCAGCAAGATCAACACTCTCAGTCATAACTGAGAGCTTAAACTCTCAGTCATAACTGAGAGCAGTAAGATCAACACTCTCAGTCATAACTGAGAGCTTAAACTCTCAGTCATAACTGAGAGCAGTAAGATCAACACTCTCAGTCATATCTGAGAGCAGTAAGATCAGTTAACTCGTTCACTGGTACCTAGACAATGTTCCTTACTGGTTATCCTTATATTTGTACAATGACGATTAACTGTAATCTTTAATGGATAATCATTTTCTCTGCAATTCAGTTGCTTCTCTCTCTCTCTCTCTCTCTCTCTCTCTCTCTCTCTCTCTCTCTCTCCTCTCTCTCTCTCTCCTCTCTCTCTCTCTCTCTCTCTCTCTCTCTCTCGTTACTGAAAAACAAGGCTGTTAGGGACAGATTAGGTTGTCTGCCTGATGAATTCATTCCACAGGATGGGACTACTTCTACTAGTATTCAAGAGAAAGCGGACATCTTTGCCGAACATTTTGCTACCAAAATGGAAGTTCCTGATTCAGCAAGCGGCCCTCCTTGGCTAGCTGCAAGAACTGTGTCAGAACTCTCAGTGGTGACAATGAGACAGGAGGAGGTGTATCTTCTTAAATCGCTTGACCAGGAAAAGGCTGTGGGGCCAGACATGTTGAGACTAAGATTGCTGAGAAGATGTGCACACCAGCTAGCAGCACCTCTAACTCGCATCTTTCAGCACTGCCTAATACAGTGTAAATGGCCTTCTTTGTGGAAAGAGGCAATTGTAGTCCCTGTTCACAAAAAGAAGAGCAGAGCAGAAATCAGCAACTACAGACCAGTGTCACTCCTGTCAATCACTGGTAAGATCCTTGAGACAATAATCTCAAGACAAATCACAGAGTTTTTTGACTACCACTCACTGCTTCGTGACCGTCGATATGGCTTCAGGAAAGGTTACTCTGCTGCTGATCTATTGTTAAAACTCTCCACTAAGTGCCACCAGTCACTGGAAGAGTCCAAAGTCAGCTGTGTGGTAGCACTGGACATTGCTGGTGCTTTCGACCGGGTGTGGCACCAGAGCCTCTTAGCAAAACTTCAAGCACTGGGAATTGCAGGCTCTACGCTATGTCTCCTCAGTGATTACCTTCATGGTAGATCTCTAAGGGTGGTTCTTAACTGAACAGAATCAGCAAGACATCCTATTGGGTCAAGTGTTCCACAAGGAAGCGTGCTGGGACCATTGTTATGGAATGTCTACTTCAGTGACCTTCTTCACCTCATCCCAGAATCCCATGCATATGCAGACGACTGTACACTGAAATTTACTTATCAAAGAGAAGAAATGCCAGCTGCTCTAAGCTACATCAATCACCATCTAAGAGTTATATCAACTTGAGAAACCGATGGCAAGTAACATTTACGCCTGAGAAAACACAAATGGTGATGGTCTCTAGACACCATGATGGTAATGCTGGTGCAGTAGTAAGTGTGAATGGGAGAGTGTTGGTACCTGGGGAAGCATATGATATCCTTGGGGTGATACTTGACTCCAAACTGACCATGAAGAACCACGTTGTAAATCTTGCAAACAAGGCAGCCAGGAAGCTTATAGCACTTCGACGTATCTCGCATCTGCTTGACAGTAAGTTTTGCAAGATTCTGTATGAGGCACAAGTACGCTCACACCCTGAGTATGCTCGGCTTTCTTGGTTTGCCTCCCCCCTTCCCTCTCTCATCTGCGACTGCTTGACAGAGTAGAGAACAGAGCAAGACGTCTCATCTCTCGCCTGGACCCATCCTGGATAGATCTGTCATTTCAGCAGAGCCTTCAACACAGGAGGGATGTGGGTGGCCTTACTGTTATGTACAAGGCCAATATTGTCAAAGTACCACACTTGGATCCACTTCGAGGACAGCGTGAAGCAAGCTTCTATACCACAAGACGGGCAGAAAGCAGCAACTTCACTCTGGCTGTAACATTCTCCAGAACATCACTCCATCTGAGATCATATATACCCAGGATGACTCGAGTATGGAACACATTCGTACAGCATTATGATGTCAACGAGATAAAGTCAGTTGATCAAATGAAAATACTGGCCCACAGATGGGTTCCAACTTCATCCTGTTTGCTACTTGTATGTTCCATAAAATTCAAAATGCTTTCAAATGAGCTGATGTTGGTAACAGCTCTTGGCTTGTCAATAAAGTTAGGAATCCTTAACTTGTCAATAGCTTGTTAATAAAGTCAGAGATCCTTAACCTAACCTTGTCAAACCCTGTGTTAAAGAGAGAGAGAGAGAGAGAGAGAGAGAGAGAGAGAGAGAGAGAGAGAGAGAGAGCATTACCCTGGGAGGGATGGTGACACCGTAGAGAGAAGCGATGCCCAGGAAGATGATGGGGAGCCAGCAAGCAGCATCCGTGGCAACAATCAGTGTCATTCTCTTGGCCATTCCTCCGTCCCCTCCACCAGGTTCCGTGCCCTTCCGTGCCGCCGTGTGCGTGTCCGTAGCAGCCACGTACATCAGTACGTAACTCACGGCGATCACTCCAAACGACATTAAGTTTAAAACTGAAAAAGCCAGTAATCTTTAATAAGTAGATCAGAAATTAAATTAATTCATAAAATCTAGACCAGAAGATACTCATATAATTTTTCAAGACAGATTCTCGAACCAGAAGAAAATACATTAAAAAAAACAGATAAACTTCATAATTTAGGTAAATTTCCAACGTAGAGAGAAACTTTAAGACCAAGTGTCAGTATAGACGTGCAGCTGACGTTCTGTACAGCAGCTGACGTTCTGTACAGCAGCTGACGTTCTGTACAGCTGACGTTCTGTACAGCAGCTGACGTTCTGTACAGCAGCTGACGTTCTGTACAGCAGCTGACGTTCTGTACAGCAGCTGACGTTCTGTACAGCAGCTGACGTTCTGTACAGCAGCTGACGTTCTGTACAGCAGCTGACGTTCTGTACAGCAGCTGACGTTCTGTACAGCAGCTGACGTTCTGTACAGCAGCTGACGTTCTGTACAGCAGCTGACGTTCTGTACAGCAGCTGATGTTCTGTACAGCAGCTGACGTTCTGTACAGCTGACGTTCTGTGCAGCAGCTGACGTTCTGTACAGCAGCTGACGTTCTGTACAGCAGCTGACGTTCTGTACAGCAGCTGACGTTCTGTACAGCAGCTGACGTTCTGTACAGCTGACGTTCTGTACAGCTGACGTTCTGTACAGCTGACGTTCTGTACAGCAGCTGACGTTCTGTACAGCTGACGTTCTGTACAGCTGACGTTCTGTACAGCAGCTGACGTTCTGTACAGCTGACATTCTGTACAGCTGACGTTCTGTACAGCTGACGTTCTGTACAGCAGCTGACGTTCTGTACAGCAGCTGACGTTCTGTACAGCTGACGTTCTGTACAGCAGCTGACGTTCTGTACAGCAGCTGACGCTCTGTACAGCAGCTGACGTTCTGTACAGCAGCTGACGTTCTGTACAGCAGCTGACGTTCTGTACAGCAGCTGACGTTCTGTACAGCAGCTGACGTTCTGTACAGCTGATGTTCTGTAAAGCAGCTGACGTTCTGTACAGCTGACGTTCTGTACAGCAGCTGACGTTCTGTACAGCAGCTGACGTTCTGTACAGCAGCTGACGTTCTGTACAGCTGACGTTCTGTACAGCTGACGTTCTGTACAGCTGACGTTCTCTACAGCAGCTGACGTTCTGTACAGCTGACGTTCTGTACAGCAGCTGACGTTCTGTACAGCAGCTGACGTTCTGTACAGCAGCTGACGTTCTGTACAGCAGCTGACGTTCTGTACAGCAGCTGACGTTCTGTACAGCAGCTGACGTTCTGTACAGCTGACGTTCTGTACAGCTGACGTTCTGTACAGCAGCTGACGTTCTGTACAGCAGCTGACGCTCTGTACAGCAGCTGACGTTCTGTACAGCAGCTGACGTTCTGTACAGCAGCTGACGTTCTGTACAGCAGCTGACGTTCTGTACAGCTGACGTTCTGTACAGCTGACGTTCTGTACAGCTGACGTTCTGTACAGCTGACGTTCTGTACAGCTGACGTTCTGTACAGCAGCTGACGTTCTGTACAGCAGCTGACGTTCTGTACAGCAGCTGACGTTCTGTACAGCAGCTGACGTTCTGTACAGCTGACGTTCTGTACAGCAGCTGACGTTCTGTACAGCAGCTGACGCTCTGTACAGCAGCTGACGTTCTGTACAGCAGCTGACGTTCTGTACAGCAGCTGACGTTCTGTACAGCAGCTGACGTTCTGTACAGCAGCTGACGTTCTGTACAGCAGCTGACGTTCTGTACAGCTGACGTTCTGTACAGCTGACATTCTGTACAGCTGACGTTCTGTACAGCAGCTGACGTTCTGTACAGCTGACGTTCTGTACAGCAGCTGACGTTCTGTACAGCTGACGTTCTGTACAGCAGCTGACGTTCTGTACAGCAGCTGACGTTCTGTACAGCAGCTGACGTTCTGTACAGCAGCTGACGTTCTGTACAGCTGACGTTCTGTACAGCTGACGTTCTGTACAGCTGACGTTCTGTACAGCTGACGTTCTGTACAGCAGCTGACGTTCTGTACAGCTGACGTTCTGTACAGCAGCTGACGTTCTGTACAGCAGCTTACGTTCTGTACAGCAGCTGACGTTCTGTACAGCTGACATTCTGTACAGCAGCTGACGTTCTGTACAGCAGCTGACGTTCTGTACAGCAGCTGACGTTCTGTACAGCTGACGTTCTGTACAGCAGCTGACGTTCTGTACAGCAGCTGACGTTCTGTACAGCTGACGTTCTGTACAGCAGCTGACGTTCTGTACAGCAGCTGACGTTCTGTACAGCAGCTGACGTTCTGTACAGCAGCTGACGTTCTGTACAGCAGCTGACGTTCTGTACAGCAGCTGACGCTCTGTACAGCAGCTGACGTTCTGTACAGCAGCTGACGTTCTGTACAGCAGCTGACGTTCTGTACAGCTGACGTTCTGTACAGCAGCTGACGTTCTGTACAGCAGCTGACGTTCTGTACAGCTGACGTTCTGTACAGCAGCTGACGTTCTGTACAGCTGACGTTCTGTACAGCTGACGTTCTGTACAGCAGCTGACGTTCTGTACAGCAGCTTACGTTCTGTACAGCAGCTGACGTTCTGCACAACAGCTGACGTTCTGTTCAGCAGCTGACGTTCTGTACAGCAGCTGACGTTCTGTACAGCAGCTGACGTTCTGTACAGCTGACGTTCTGTACAGCAGCTGACGTTCTGTACAGCAGCTGACGTTCTGTACAGCAGCTGACGTTCTGTACAGCTGACGTTCTGTACAACAGCTGACGATCTGTACAGCAGCTGACGTTTCTGTACAGCAGCTGACGTTCTGTACAGCTGACGTTCTGTACAGCAGCTGACGTTCTGTACAGCAGCTTACGTTCTGTACAGCAGCTGACGTTCTGTACAACAGCTGACGTTCTGTACAGCAGCTGACGTTCTGTACAGCAGCTGACGTTCTGTACAGCAGGTGACGTTCTGTACAGCAGCTGACGTTCTGTACAGCTGACGTTCTGTACAGCAGCTAACGTTCTATACAGCTGCTGACGTTCTGTACAGCTGACGTTCTGTACAGCAGCTGACGTTCTGTACAGCAGCTGACGGTCTGTACAGCAGCTGACGGTCTGTACAGCAGCTGACGGTCTGTACAGCTGACGTTCTGTACAGCAACTGACGTTCTGTACAGCAACTGACGTTCTGTACAGCAGCTGACGTTCTGTACAGCAGCTGACGTTCTGTACAGCTGATGTTCTGTACAGCAGCTGACGTTCTGTACAGCTGACGTTCTGTGCAGCAGCTGACGTTCTGTACAGCTGACGTTCTGTACAGCAGCTGACGTTCTGTACAGCAGCTGACGTTCTGTACAGCAGCTGACGTTCTGTACAGCTGACGTTCTGTACAGCAGCTAACGTTCTGTACAGCTGACGTTCTGTACAGCTGACGTTCTGTACAGCAGCTTACGTTCTGTACAGCAGCTTACGTTCTGTACAGCAGCTGACGTTCTGCACAACAGCTGACGTTCTGTACAGCAGCTGACGTTCTGTACAGCAGCTGACGTTCTGTACAGCAGCTGACGTTCTGTACAGCTGACGTTCTGTACAGCAGCTGACGTTCTGTACAGCAGCTGACGTTCTGTACAGCTGACGTTCTGTACAACAGCTGACGATCTGTACAGCAGCTGACGTTCTGTACAGCAGCTGACGTTCTGTACAGCTGACGTTCTGTACAGCAGCTGACGTTCTGTACAGCAGCTTACGTTCTGTACAGCAGCTGACGTTCTGTACAACAGTTGACGTTCTGTACAACAGCTGACGTTCTGTACAGCAGCTGACGTTCTGTACAGCAGGTGACGTTCTGTACAGCAGCTGACGTTCTGTACAGCTGACGTTCTGTACAGCAGCTAACGTTCTATACAGCTGCTGACGTTCTGTACAGCTGACGTTCTGTACAGCAGCTGACGTTCTGTACAGCAGCTGACGGTCTGTACAGCAGCTGACGGTCTGTACAGCTGACGTTCTGTACAGCAACTGACGTTCTGTACAGCAGCTGACGTTCTGTACAGCAGCTGACGTTCTGTACAGCTGATGTTCTGTACAGCAGCTGACGTTCTGTACAGCTGACGTTCTGTGCAGCAGCTGACGTTCTGTACAGCTGACGTTCTGTACAGCAGCTGACGTTCTGTACAGCAGCTGACGTTCTGTACAGCTGCTGACGTTCTGTACAGCAGCTGACGTTCTGTACAGCTGACGTTCTGTACAGCAGCTGACGTTCTGTACAGCTGACGTTCTGTACAGCAGCTGACGTTCTGTACAGCTGACGTTCTGTGCAGCAGCTGACGTTCTGTACAGCAGCTGACTTTCTGTACAGCTGACGTTCTGTACAGCTGACGTTCTGTTCAGCAGCTGACGTTCTGTACAGCAGCTGACGTTCTGTACAGCAGCTGACATTCTGTACAGCTGACGTTCTGTACAGCAGCTGACGTTCTGTACAGCTGACGTTCTGTACAGCAGCTGACGTTCTGTACAGCTGACGTTCTGTACAGCTGACGTTCTGTACAGCTGACGTTCTGTACAGCAGCTGACGTTCTGTACAGCAGCTGACGTTCAGTACAGCAGCTGACATTCTGTACAGCAGCTGACGTTCTGTACAGCAGCTGACGTTCTGTGCAGCTGACGTTCTGTACAACAGCTGACGTTCTGTACAGCAGCTGACGTTCTGTACAGCAGCTGACGTTCTGTACAGCTGACGTTCTGTACAGCAGCTGACGTTCTGTACAGCTGACGTTCTGTACAGCAGCTGACGTTCTGTACAGCTGTCGTTCTGTGCAGCAGCTGACGTTCTGTACAGCAGCTGACGTTCTGTACAGCTGACGTTCTGTACAGCTGACGGTCTGTACAGCTGACGGTCTGTACAGCAGCTGACGTTCTGTACAGCAGCTGACATTCTGTACAGCAGCTGACGTTCTGTACAGCTGACGTTCTGTACAGCTGACGTTCTGTACAGCTGTTCTG